CTATGGACTGTTTGCATTCTGTTGTCAATAAAATATTATAAAGCCACGTTGTCGGCAAAAATCAGACTAAGTGCTAATTATTTTTTTTTAGGAAAAAATTAAGTTATACATTAAATTTCAAATTAGCCATAAGGGTCACAATCATAGGAAGAAAAAATTAATTTAACGTAAATTCTGAAAAGCTAATATTTTAAGCATCTTATAAAAAGTACGTGATATTTAGGGCTGGCTTGTTTACAAAATAATTCATCCAAAATGAGTTATTTTGGTTAACTAGAGTTAATTTTGAAAAATGTAATATGGTTAATTGTTAGTGGAATTTTAAAAATATATTAAAATAATATTTAAAATAAAATAATTAAAATTAATTTGATGTAAAGTATGAGATAAATGATTGGGAATAATAGGTAGTTAAAATTATGTGAATGGATGAATAGTGAATTAAAGATGTGATGTGCAAGAATGATTGAGTTGTATTTATTAATTATATGAATAACATTAAAGATAGTGAGGTTGAATTAAAATTGAGTTATATTTTGAGTATGAATTAAAAGTGAGTGAAATAACTGATAAACAAGCACGTCGTTACAAAAGCATTCTGGAAAAAAAAAAATTAAAATAAAAAAATGTAACACCAATAAAAATTCTGACATCATGACCCGTGATTGATGTTGAATCAAGATTTTCATCACATTTCAAGAGATTTCAAAGGGCAAGATATTTGCATGATTTTGTGAAGAAATATTAAGCAATTTGTTTGTCATTATATTGTGAATTATTGAATGTAAACTGTAGATTACTAACCATTCTTACCAAGGTTATGTGAATTTATCGTTCAACCTATTGAACTAATAGTTCACAAATTAAATAGTAAACCCGTTCGACTTGTATTTAATTTGTTGATATTTTTTTATATATAATAATTTTTAAATATAAAAATATTATTAATTGCAAAATTATACACTTTAAAACATCCAAATGTCTAATCTAATTTAATAAATAATTTGTACATGTTTATCATATTTAAATATGTACTTTTATTTATATAAAACGAATAATTTCCTTGTATTTATATCAACCCCAGTTTAAGTACTAATTACTGTATAATAAAAACTTTCACATCCAAAATATATTTATATCATAAAATAATAATTATAGCCAATTATAATAATTCAATTACTAATTATTAAAGTAACATACATATGAGAAATTAATATGTCATCCATCCTATATATTTATTTAGACTTTCTCGTCACATATCTTTTTCTAATTTCTTGTACTTTCAAATTACACGGATAATAATTCTAGAATTCAATTTTACAAGTAGTTAGACTCGAATTCCACATCCAGTGCCTATAGATATACAAAGTTATATATTGGTCAAAAATTTTCTTATTCATTGTTTATTATTGTTGTCATAAATTAATGTATTTATAACATTCTTACATATTGTACACTATTTTTTAAATATAATAACAAATTTAAACATAGATTTTTAGCATCCACATTGATTTTTTTTTAGTAAACTTATTTATGTTGGTAAATGATGATCACCGTAAGTAACATTAATTTTGGAAGAAATGTTACCTTATAATATCAAAAGTCATACTTATAATTTTTATCATTTTGTATTTGCAATTACAATAATTATGTATTAAAATATGTATATTTATTGTAAGAGTATATATATAATTGTTGCCATTCAATTAATGTAATTTTTTCAGTCATTTTTTTTCATTTAAATGTATAAACTAACTGTTGCATTTTACGTAATAACATTTTTTTAACTATTCAATAAGTTAATTTAAATTTACAGTTTATTAAGTTAATGTAATTNAAAAAAAAAAAAAACAAAGAAAAAGAATACCTGCCGACGGGGATTCTCACATAATTTTACCACTGTACGCCTAATTCGTCTTCGCCGCCGGTGATAATGATATCCGCCGTGACCGCCACCGCCGAGAGAAAGTTTCTGGTTATCGCTTACATGTTTTCGGTAGTCCTTTTATCCATTTATTTTCCTGTATCTATTGAGGCTTGAAAAAGGTTTTGATGCTTATTTTGTATGGGGCAAGAATTATTTATCGCTATAAAAGAAGGATTCGAAGCATCTTCAAGTGAGTTCGATTGATTTTTGTTTCAATTTGATAATTTCCATTACCTGATTATGAATCTTACATACCTGGTTTTGTTCTCGTGTTTTTGCCCATCGAGTGCTGTGTAGACTGTAGAGAGTCTCCAATGGCGGTCTTCACAAGCTTGACAATCCCTACACACACACTAATACACATACTGAAAATGTGGTTATTCTAGTTTAGGTTGTGTATTTGGCTTGCTTTGCAGGGTAAATTTCAAGGCTCCAATCGACCGGTAAAGTCCTTAGGGGGTGATTGTTTATCAATTCATCTAGAAATTAATTGGTTTTTTTTAACTATAGTTACTTTTAAAAAAAGTTAGTATGGTTAGTTGTTAGTGGATATATTAAAATAATATTTAAAATAAAATAATTAAAGTTGATATGATGTAAAAGTAAGAGAAAATGATTGGAAGTAGTGGTTAGTTAAAATTATGTGAGTGGATGAATAGTGAATTAAAATTGATGTGATGTGTAAGAATGATTGGTTGGTATTAATTAATTATATTGATAATAATGGAGATAGTGGAATTGGGTTAAAGTTGAGTTAAATTTGAGTTTTGATTGATTTTTTTGGAATTGGATTGATAAACAATCACAACCTTATAGACTCCTCTTGATATTTGTCGGTGAAATTATGTTTTATAGTTAAATATTGTATAGCGCTGGATTTTAAGAACATGCAACAGAGATTACGGTTTATAGTGTGGATTGATTTTGGGAGATTATTTTAGTTGAAGCTCTGTTGAAATAGAAACAAATAAAGTTGGGGTTTTATTTTATTTTATTTTTTTTGTAGCGGGTTGAAATCTTGTAGTGATTTACAGATTATATATATGGTATGATGAAATCAATAACAATGGGCCGCTAAGGCGGGATTTGAGGGGTGGTGACAAACGAGTGATGGCTCGTTTTAGGTGATATGATATGTATTTTCGGTTGAGAGAAAGATAACGTGAAGTGTCATCTAGCTCTTGGATGCGGATAAATTCTGGTGAATTTAGTTGATGGTGGCATTATCTGTGCAGATGCCACTTTATGCATCTCAACCGAGCTAACTACTTCTCTTTTCTTTTTGTATTTTTCTCTTCTTCTTTTGATTGTGCGATGAGGTGGCATCGAGTTCGACGGGAAAGGCATGAGTAAAAGAGCGATTAATACAATTTATTTTTGCAGTAACATTTTCACCTTTTTACAAAGTTTAAACATTCCGTGCTCATGCTACTTTGCTTATTTTTAGGTATTTTTGCTTTTAAACTTTCTCCGAAGTTTAATTCTTCAACATATTACCATTGTCCAAATCCCCTTCCTACTATCGACTTACAGGAACACACAATTAAAATTGAATCCAAGCATTTATGATTGTGTCTAACACAGTCCATATCCGACCACTGTTATCAACTTACTAAACACAAAATTTGACCAACTTTTTTCGAGTAAACGTCTTATTGAACCTCCAGCTAACTCCAATTCCATTTGTTAGGGAGTATTTGCAAACTGTTTGCCTAACTGTATTGGGAGTGAAAAAATATAATTAGTTCATTTTGTCAACTAGAAGCTTTAGCGTTTCTCTCCGATAGAGAATGTATCGTGTTAGATCAAGTAGAAATTCAGATAGAGAATGTATCGTGTTAATTGTTTAGATAATTACATGAAATGATATTCTTCTTCTTATCCCTTTTTCCAGGTAGCACCAGAATTTAGGCAATTTGATATCTAAGGCATTGGTCCTGTGTTGGGCTTGGATGCTAGATCCTGTTCCTTTTGCATCTCTTCTTCTGCTGGAGTTTTTTTGGGAATCTCCATGAACAAAACACTGTCAAGAATGTGAAATTTAAAGGATGGAAAATTGGGAATTTTGAAGGGTTTTTGTAGGGTTTTAGGTTTTTGCTGATGAATTGATCTTTTGGTACTGTATAAAGTCACATAGAAATGCTATGGAGCCAACCGTGGGCTCCGTTATGGAGCCAACTTTTGAAAAACGGATTCTCTCCATAGCAGGACTGTAAAGTCCCAATTGAGATTTGAATTTCTCAGGCTTTTCTTGGATAAATGATGTTCTGTTTTGAGAAAATTTTGAATTGGATGAAAAATGTGATCTTTTGTAGCTAGAGCTCGACCTAACTCAGCTCGTTCGATTGAGCTCAAGCTTGTTTAAAACTCATTTAGTTAATGAAAGTTTCGATGATAGGAATTTTTGCGTGGTTTTTTGAAATTTTAGCTTACATCGACTCATTGAAGTTTGAGTTCGACTAGTTACTATTGAAATGGGTCGAATTCGAGCTCATTTAATGGTTTGTTTAGTTAACAAGCACATCTCGTGCAAGGGTATGAATATCAGAAGTTCGAGCTTGATTAATTGATTTATTTGAAGCACATGTCCAATTTGGTCTACAGTTTGATTTGAGCTTTTAATTTGAACTATGGTTTTTCATAGTTCATTCCAAGAAATGTGGAGATTTATTACATATTTCAGCCTACCTTGAAAAAAATGGGTTAGAGAAAAAAATCTTTGAAATGCCATTTGCAAAATATGAAAAAATAAATTAAAAAAAAAAATCATTTCACGTATTTGCACATTTCATGCCCTACAAGTACACAAACAGACCCTAAATATCAGAAAAACAGACTAAAATGCAAGAGAATACAAAATTAGACTACTCTCATCAATAAATTATTGACCACAGTTAGGGTTTAAACAGGCAAAAAAAATCACCTATAGCTTGTACAAACTATACTATCTGACCTTCAAAATGAAGGCTTTTTTCAGAAGGAAAAACAAA